GCATCATTATGGTGCGGAGCGACACGCAGTGGGCGGCACAACGTCACGGGAGAGCATCAACAACAACAATTATATTATTAATCATCATCATCATCATACCAATCACCCTAACCCTTGCAAAAACACGAAAGTCTCGTCGTCGCCGTCGTTTTATATATATTATAAAATAAAGCACATTCGGTGGATATTCTCGACACATATATAAAATTTTAAAAAAACACGAACTCCTACAAAGGGTTGATTACGATGAGCGAACGGAATAAAAGCGGAGCACCACCGGCACGTGGAATCATCATCCCCCGATAAAATACAACATTTTTTTTTCGTCTGTTTTGACCTAGCACCATATTTGAGACGTGTGACGTTTGAGACCATTGCATGCCACGCGGAAGAAGAATCCAGCGCATCAAAAGCACCCCCCACCGCTCGCTCTCCTCGGCGAACCCCAGACCCAGCTGCTAGTGTAGGCCCCTGTTTCAGAAGCGACCAGGCTGTCGAAGATGATAGCTGCTCGACGAAAGTGGCGGCTGATCATCGTCGTCATCGTCGTCGTCGTCGTTATCTTCGTCATCGTCATCGTCATCATCGTCGTCATCGTCGTCGTCATCGTCGTCGTCACCGTCGTCATCATCGTCGTCATCATTGTCGTCATCATCATTGTCATCATCGTCATCGTCATCATCGTATTCACCGTCATCGTCGTCATCATCATCGTCGTCATCGTCGTCGTCATCATCGTCATCATCGTCATCATCGTCGTCGTCGTCATTGTCGTCATTATCATCGTCGTCGTCATCATCGTCATCATCGTCATCGTCACCATCGTCATCATCGTCGTCACCATCGTCGTCACCATCGTCACCGTCGTCACCGTCGTCACCGTCGTCACCGTCGTCGTCGTCATCGTCGTCGCGTGGAAGTGTATAGCAGCAGGCAGATTAGTCTCGGAACGCGAGTGATGTCGATTCGAAATGTGGAGGAGGGAAAACCCGGGCCAATCCCCCGGAGAGAATCCACGCGGCCACGGGGAGCGAGACGCGAAACTCCAAATCTACAGCAGCAGCAGCAGGCGCCGTAGGGACTTGGGATCGAACCCACGACCTCCTGTGTACCGGGACGAGGGAGGTAACATCTCCCTAGCCACTGTGGCCGCCCCCTTACTATGACGACTGCTAGTCACGTGTCCACCTACTCCGGTCTATGCAGCGACACGTGGGGAGTGACAACACAAACAAACAAACAAACCCCCCCCCTCCATTCGGCGCAGAAACGAAGCCCCTAAGCCAGCAAACCAACTGTGCAGCGCGACCGACGGCGCTCCACCAACAATCATCGGGCGCGTGCAGTGCGTGCAGCGGCCGATTTTGCCGCAACGAGGAAGCGACCGGGAGCGAGGCGCGCCGGCTCGCTCCAAACGCCGTGGGGGCGACGCCGATTTGCGCTCGGGTTCAAGTCACTCCACTGCTGGATGAAGACCGCCCCCCCCCCCCACTACCGCGAGCGGGGGCTTGGTGAAGGCAGTGGGGCAGGGAGCGTAGACTTGGAGGGGGAGGAGTGGGCAGTGGAGTAACAACGCTGCCCTCTGCTGCTCCCAGCATGCATAGTTTCGTATTTCCGGAGAACCGTTCCCACGTCTACACCCTGCCGTCTACTAAGGGATGCGACTGCTGGAAAAGAGAAACGAAATAAGATACAACGTTCCCAACTCACCATCATCATCATCGAGAGAGAGAGAATAGGCGGTGAGGGGTATCCGTCTGTCTGACTATTGTACTCTACAGGATGAGAGTTGTGAGTGATCTCTGACTACTGTACTCTACGGGATGAGAGTTGTGAGTGAACTATCTCTGGCTATACTCTACAGGATGAGAGTTGTGAGTGAACTATCTCTGGCTATACTCTACAGGATGAGAGAGTTGTGAGTGAACTATCTCTGACTATTGTACTCTACAGCATGAGAGTTGTGAGTGAACTATCTCTGGTTATTGTACTCTACAGGATGAGAGTTGTGAGTGAACTATCTCTGACTATTGTACTCTACAGGATGAGAGTTGAGTGAACTATCTCTGACTATTGTACTCTACAGGATGAGTGAGTTGTGAGTGAACTATCTCTGTCTATTGTACTCTACAGGATGAGAGTTGTGAGTGAACTATCTCTGTCTATTGTACTCTACAGGATGAGAGTTGTGAGTGAACTATCTCTGGTTATTGTACTCTACGGGATGGAGAGTTGTGAGTGATCTCTCTCTGGCTATTGTAGTCTACAGGATGAGAGTTGTGAGTGAACTATCTCTGACTATTGTACTCTACAGGATGAGAGTTGTGAATGAACCATCTCTGGCTATACTCTACAGGATGAGAGTTGTGAGTGATCTCTGACTATTGTACTCTACAGGATGAGTGAGTTGTGAGTGAACTATCTCTGGCTATTGTACTCTACAGGATGGAGAGTTGTGAGCTATCTAACGCTCGCTTGTAACGATATTATTCATAACAAAACATTGTTTTGCGGGGTTAGATCTCGTAAATATGACGGTGTCGTTAACCCACCACCACCACCACCCAACACAAACAATGAGTAAGGGCTTGTCACGTAAACAAAACGTGCCAATGAGTTACTTGCTCAGCACTAAACGGTTGCGTCAACCCACAACGTTAACAATTTGAGTAGCGTGTCGTGTCGCCGGTGATTACAACAACTACCAGCAGCTTCATCGGGCGACTTGTGCCCAAATTGTTTACGTGACAAACGTTACCGATTGGCTCTATCGGGTGGTGGTGGTGGTGGGATTCATGACACATTCATTTTCACACGATCTAACCCAAAAAAAAACTTTCATTATGAATAATTTTTGTTCGCGAAAGCATACTGCGACTACGTGTTCAAATTGAAACGACATCTCCGTCGGTGAAGTGCACCCATTGTTTTCTCTTTTTTTGTTCTCTCTTCCCACTGACAAATCTGAGCCGGGAGGGTGCCCAGCACACCATAGGGGTGGTTTTCCACAAGGCCATTTGCCGAGCCGTGCCGAAACCAAGCCTTGATAGCCGCTCGCCACCTCCCACCCCCCCCCTCCCTCCACCTCGCCCGTCGCAATCTGGCTCGGGGCCAAGCAGAGCTGGGCTGGGGCGGGGCTCACGAGGCATCGGTGGGAGTGACGTCAAGTGGCACGGCTCGGCCTCTTGCAGTGGAACAGCAACAAAGAACCGTCGCTAGGCACGGGGGCCACCCCGGCAACGGGCTAAGTGGTAACGGAGGCTCGTGCGTCCGGAATGACTTTGAGCCGCTTACGCAGCCAGTCACACCACCTCAGAGGAGTTTTGATCGCATCTGGCAAGATAGCACTGCACTACGCGCGCGTGTGTGCGTGTGTGTGTGTGTATGTGTGTACACGTGCGCGCGTGTCTACGGATGCGCGCGTGTGCATACACACAAAGACACAATGACATCACGTACGCGCGCGCTTGTGTACGTACGCATGCGTATACATGGCCGACGGAGTACGCACACCGCACACACACACACAGACACCTAAAATAGTACGTACCAATGAACGCACGCATGCACGCAAGGACACGCACGAATAGCAACGATAACAAAGATCCCCCGTATAGCCCACGCAGGCTGCTGGGGGCAAGTGCTGTCGAGTTAGCACCTCTGTGAAGGACGGCGCTGGCGAGCGAGCGAAGGAGGTGCTGCTGGCACCGTGCCCCGGCCGCCTTTGTCTCCCCAGTGCCGATGCTTACACGATGCACCAAGTACTCATTTACGGCTGAGGGGACCTCGGGGAGGCACATGACCGGTTCAGATATTCACCACCGGCGATGGCCGCGAGAGGGAATGGAACTCGGGTCGCCGGGTTCGGAGTCACGCGGAGCGCTAACCGCTGCACCGCCGCTCTCCGTCACGCAAACACAACGACCCCCCCCCCCCTTAACAGACTGTTGGGGCAAGCGCTGTTCACGAGCAGCACCTAACGAAGGCCGGCACGGCACGCGAAGGGGGGTGGGTAGCCAGCACCACGCCCGGCCGCCTTTGTCTCCCCAGTGGCGTTGTTAGCACATCCTACCAGGTACTCATTTTGAGGCTGAGTCGACCTAGGGGAGGCCCAGGACCGGTTCAGATGGTCGTCACTGGTGATATCTACACAAATAGACACTCGCACCCACACACACATATCCTCACACTCACAAACTCTCACCCACACACTCACACCCTCAACAACAACCGCCATTCGCCACTAAGTGGCGGTGACGTCACCACGGCGCTTGTGCCAGGCTATGTGCACCTTGAGGCCACGTGGAGTGTCGAACGCCCGCTGGCAGTTGGTCACGGGACAGACCCAGCAGGTGCCACGGGTCGACTGACTTAGATGACCGAGATGACTGGCTGATGCACCACCTGTGCCCCCTACTGTGCCAACTTGCTGTGCTTTAGCCACCCGGCACTCCGCTCGTTGTTGTGAGCGTCGCTCCTCCGCCCTGTGTTGTTGTTGGAGGGCAACTGCCTCCAACTTCCCGGTAGCGTCCTTCACGAGCCTCCTCCACAGAGGCCGATCTTGGCACTGCTGGTACCAGTCATCGGTAAGTCCACTCAGCTCCACGTCCTCCTGTACCACATCACTCCATCTCTTCTCTAGCCCGTGCTGCGCCAGCTTAGCCTGGTCGGTGGCTGGCTACATGACTTTGTCCAGATCTTTCAAGGATTTGTGGGCTCCTCACAAAATCCAGCCTGGTTAAGCCCAGGATTGATCGTAGGCAGGCCAGCCGAAATGTTTCTAACCGGCAAAGGTGTTCCATTAGGGGGGTCCACGTTTTGCAAGCGTAGAGAAGGGAGGGAATGACTGTGGCCGAGAAGACCTGAAGCTTAGTGCGGAGCGATAGACCAGGTAGCTTCCACACAGCGTTACACAACCGATGAAAAGATAATGCCGCACGACTGATTCGGAGTGAGACCTCTGCTGTCACACCGGAGCTGCTCATGAGCACACTGCCCAGGTATGGGAAACTCTCCACTCTCTCCACAACTGCCCCACACACACACACACACACGCACCCACAAACCCCATGCACTCACACTCACGCACACTGGCCAACACAGCACTTGCCCCAACATTCTGTACGTACCGCCGGCTAAAGACAGGAACCACACGTGCGCCCGCCCACACACGCACCCATGCACACACAAGCACTCGCCCACGCGCACACACACGCACACACATGCACCCGCGCGTGCCGCTAGTTGGTGAGTTCCACGCTGAGCTCCAGGCGGAGCGCCCGCCCCACCTCCCCCGAGGCACGACCGCGGTCCCTCTCCTCCCGCAGGCGCCGCAGCTCGCCGCGCTCAAACGCCGGCGTTCCGCCGATCACCAGCGAATAATCCCCCGGGGTGGCCCTCCTCCGCACCACCCGCAGCAGGGCCGGCCCGGCGGCCGTCGCCGCGGAGGCCCCGGCGTCGTCGGCGGCGGCGGCGGCGCCGGAGACTCCGCCGGCGTGCCGGATTTCGAAGCACGGCTCGGACCGAGCGCCGTCGGGCCGGGCGACGCTGAGGATGCGGTAGCGCACGTGGCCGCTCAGCGTTTTGAGCGCGGGTATGAGAGCGAGGATGGTGATGTCATCATCCTCCTCCTCTTCCTCCTTGTCCTCCTCCTCGCCCGTAGCGGCGGCTTCCTGCGTCTTTCTCTTCTTCGTCTGCCGGTCCTCCCCGTTGCTGCGGGCGCGGAGCTTGCTGGAGAGTGGCACCAGCAGCCTCATCGGACGGTCCGTGTCCAGGCTCGGCTGGGGACACGCCGTGGGGACACGCGGTGGGGACACAGGCGACATGGCTCGCTGCTCAGAGGCACTCATCGTGGTCATGAAGCTGCCTCTGAACCCCATTGACCCCAAACAACCACGATTGACCCCCCACCACTAACTCCACTCACACACTCACTCTCACACATTCACTCACACACTCTCACACACTCACTCTCACACTCAACAACAACAACAACCGCCATTCGCCACTAAGTGACGGTGACGTCACCACGACGCTTGTGCCAGGCCATGTGCACCTTGAGGCCACGTGGAGTGTCGAACGCCCGCTGGCAGGAGGTCACGGGGCAGACCCAGGTGCCACGGGTCGACTGACTGAGATGACTGGCTGATGCACCACCTGTGCTCCCTACTGTGCCAACCTGCTGTGCTTTAGCCACCCGGCGCTCCGCTCGTTGTTGTGAGCATCGCTCCTCCGCCCTCCGTTGTTGTTGGAGGGCGACTACCTCCAACTGCCCAGTAGCGTCCTTCACGAGCCTCCTCCACAGAGGCCGATCTTGACACCGCTGGTACCAGTCACCGGCAAGTCCACTCAGCTCCACGTCCTTCTGTACCACACCACTCCATCTCTTCTCTAGCCCGTGCCGCGCCCGTTAAGCCCCCTCGATCCGGCCGAACAAAAGCTGTTTCGGCATGCGGTGGCTGGACATGCAGGCGCCATGACTCAGCCAACGCAGCCTTGCCTGGCGGAGGAGCTCACTGATGAGACTTTGTCCAGATCTTTCAAGGATTTGTGAGCTCCTCACGCAATGTATCATAGGCAGGCCAGTCTAAATGTTTCTAACCGGTGAAGATTTTCCATTATGGGGGTCCACGTTTTGCAAGCAGAGAGAAGGGAAGAAATTACTGTGGCCGAGAAGACCTGAAGCTTCGTGCGGAGCGGCAGACCAGGTAGCTTCCACACAGCATTACACAACCGATGATAAGATAATGCCGCTTGACTGATTCGGAGTGAGACCTCTGCTGTCAAACCGGAGCCGGTCATGAGCACACTGCCCAGGCAGGGGAAACTTTCCACTGTCTCCACAACTGCCCTATCACCAAATGGGAGTTGGGGGCTGGAGTGTCCGATGGTACAAAATACCCAGGCAGGTGCTTTAGTTTTCGTGGGGCTGATGATAAGGCCCCACATCTTAGTGGCAAGCTCCAGGTTCAGCAGCAGCGCCTCCAACTCCTCCTCTGAGTGAGCAGCAATTACCAGATCATTGGCATACATAACGTGGTTGAGCAACAGGGAGCCATCCCTTGACTGCACCTGGGCATCGATCATCCTCCCATTTTATCTGTACCAGATGTAAATTCCTCCGGTACAGCTATTGAAGGCTTCATGAACTACGTGGTCGAAATAGATGTTAAATAATTTGGGAGCCAGAGGACATCCCTGTCGCACCCCTAGGTGAACAGAGAATGGCTCCGACTCCCGGCCACGTAGTTTACCTGGGGCCGCTCACCATCATAAAGGTCCTTAATGATCGTGAGCAGAGGGTCAGACACTCTGAAAGAACGAAGAACAACCCAGAGCCCAGGCCTACTGATGGTATGATAGGCCTTGACCAGGTCAATAAAGCAGAGATGTAGGTCTTATTGGAATTCCCTACACCTCTGCTGTAGTAGACAGACAGAAAATATGGCATGTGTGCAGGACTGCCCTTTGCTGAAACTGCATTGGGGCTCCGCAAGCCTCTCCTCAGCATGCCTGGCAAACTGAGGAGTGAGATGCCCCTATAGTTGTTACAGTCTATGCGGTCCCCCTTCTTAAAGAGGGGGACCACCAGGGCATCCTTCCAATCCTGTGGAACCCATCCAGTGGTCCAGACTGTTGTTATGATATCATGTAGGGCAGTCTGTGCATAAACGCCACCCTCACTCAACATTTCGCTTGGGAGATCATCTCTGCCCCGTGCCTTTCCTGGTCTCAGACTCCGGATTGCCTTCAGTACTTCCTCAACAGATGGCACCTCAGCCAGCCACTCACAGGGTGTGACTTCTTCCAATATTTGAGGCACCACAGCCTCAGCAGGGCACTTTGTCCCATAATGTTTTCCAGACTGAGGGATTTCCCCTCCCCCAGGACCTCACATAAATGCTCAGCAAATCTGCAAACCTGTTCCTGGGCGTCGGAGATTGGATCACCGTTCTTTCCCCTAATGATGGTAATAGGTTTGGCGCTGCAGGTTCAGAGCCTCACGGATCTGAACCTCCGAGCGAAGGCCTCCTCATTCTCTGACGTGGGATGCTGTAGACGGTGAGAGTGGGCCTGTCGCTTTTTCTCAGCCAGCCTGAGCACCTCCTCTGTCAGCCAGGGTCTCTGGGGAGGTCTGGACCGTGTACCCAAAGCAGCCATTGCAGCTGCATGGAGCCACAGACCTAAACCTCGCCCATTTCCCCTCGACATCAGGAGGAGTGGGGGACGATGCCAACCCCAGCCACAAGCGATGATGAAACTCTCGCTTGCAACTTTCATCAGCTAGCTAAGACCATGCCACTATGGGTTTGAATGGGGTCCTGAGTGGACACCCACCACCGGAGTGGAAGAATGGCAGACACATCCTACAGATAACAAGTCGATGGTCAGTGGGCAGATCAGCTCCACGGTAGGTCCTGGTGTCAAGGACATGGGCCCGCATCTGCTGTTCCGCCACTATGTAGTCCATCAGATGTTCTTGCTTGGACCCGGCATGGATCCATGATGTTGTGTGGATGTGCTGATGCCGGAATAGCGTTTTGGTAATTACAAGCCCATGGGCTGCACAAAAATCTAGAAGCCTCCTGCTGTTGTGGTGCCAGCATCATGACCAACTCGGGCATTGAAGTCACCCAACAAGATGACTCTATCACGAGGGGCCACTTTAGCCAGCACCTGTGACAGGAGGTCATATAAGGCATATAACTAATCGGCCTTGCCTGCATCCCTCCATGGATGTTCGTCTTTGGTGGGAGCATAAGTAACCACGACCACCACCACTCGCCTCTGGGAGTTGGGGGGTGGAGTGTCCGATGGTACAAAATACCCAGGCAGGTGCTTTAGTTTTCGTGGGGCTGATGATAAGGCCCCACATCTTAGTGGCAAGCTCCAGGTTCAGCAGCAGCGCCTCCAACTCCTCCTCTGAGTGAGCAGCAATTACCAGATCATTGGCATACATAACGTGGTTGAGCAACAGGGAGCCATCCCTTGACTGCACCTGGGCATCGATCATCCTCCCATTTTATCTGTACCAGATGTAAATTCCTCCGGTACAGCTATTGAAGGCTTCATGAACTACGTGGTCGAAATAGATGTTAAATAATTTGGGAGCCAGAGGACATCCCTGTCGCACCCCTAGGTGAACAGAGAATGGCTCCGACTCCCGGCCACGTAGTTTACCTGGGGCCGCTCACCATCATAAAGGTCCTTAATGATCGTGAGCAGAGGGTCAGACACTCTGAAAGAACGAAGAACAACCCAGAGCCCAGGCCTACTGATGGTATGATAGGCCTTGACCAGGTCAATAAAGCAGAGATGTAGGTCTTATTGGAATTCCCTACACCTCTGCTGTAGTAGACAGACAGAAAATATGGTATGTGTGCAGGACTGCCCTTTGCTGAAACTGCATTGGGGCTCCGCAAGCCTCTCCTCAGCATACCTGGCAAACTGAGGAGTGAGATGCCCCTATAGTTGTTACAGTCTATGCGGTCCCCCTTCTTAAAGAGGGGGACCACCAGGACATCCTTTCAATCCTGTGGAACCCATCCAGTGGTCCAGACTGTTGTTATGATATCATGTAGGGCAGTCTGTGCATAAACGCCACCCTCACTCAACATTTCGCTTGGGAGATCATCTCTGCCCCGTGCCTTTCCTGGTCTCAGACTCCGGATTGCCTTCAGTACTTCCTCAACAGATGGCACCTCAGCCAGCCACTCACAGGGTGTGACTTCTTCCAATATTTGAGGCACCACAGCCTCAGCAGGGTCATCCCCACTTTGTCCCATAATGTTTTCCAGACTGAGGGATTTCCCCTCCCCCAGGACCTCACATAAATGCTCAGCAAATCTGCAAACCTGTTCCTGGGCGTCGGAGATTGGATCACCGTTCTTTCCCCTAATGATGGTAATAGGTTTGGCGCTGCAGGTTCAGAGCCTCACGGATCTGAACCTCCGAGCGAAGGCCTCCTCATTCTCTGACGTGGGATGCTGTAGACGGTGAGAGTGGGCCTGTCGCTTTTTCTCAGCCAGCCTGAGCACCTCCTCTGTCAGCCAGGGTCTCTGGGGAGGTCTGGACCGTGTACCCAAAGCAGCCATTGCAGCTGCATGGAGCCACAGACCTAAACCTCGCCCATTTCCCCTCGACATCAGGAGGAGTGGGGGACGATGCCAACCCCAGCCACAAGCGATGATGAAACTCTCGCTTGCAACTTTCATCAGCTAGCTAAGACCATGCCACTATGGGTTTGAATGGGGTCCTGAGTGGACACCCACTACCGGAGTGGAAGAATGGCAGACACATCCTACAGATAACAAGTCGATGGTCAGTGGGCAGATCAGCTCCACGGTAGGTCCTGGTGTCAAGGACATGGGCCCGCATCTGCTGTTCCGCCACTATGTAGTCCATCAGATGTTCTTGCTTGGACCCGGCATGGATCCATGATGTTGTGTGGATGTGCTGATGCCGGAATAGCGTTTTGGTAATTACAAGCCCATGGGCTGCACAAAAATCTAGAAGCCTCCTGCTGTTGTGGTGCCAGCATCATGACCAACTCGGGCATTGAAGTCACCCAACAAGATGACTCTATCACGAGGGGCCACTTTAGCCAGCACCTGTGACAGGAGGTCATATAAGGCATATAACTAATCGGCCTTGCCTGCATCCCTCCATGGATGTTCGTCTTCGGTGGGAGCATAAGTAACCACGACCACCACCACTCGCCTCTGGTTGATGGGAAGGCGAGCCAAAAGTAGCCTGGGGCTTACAGCTTCCCACACCTCTCTGCCATGCTCCCATGCCCCCTTCATTCTTTTGTTTATAAGAAGAGCCACTCCCTGTTGTTTGGCAGTCTCCTGCCCCGAGGAGAGGACTGTCCACCCCTCATGGTGGCAGGAGCCAGAGCCGGTCCACCGGACCTCCTGAATACCACAGAGATCCAGGCAGTACTGGTCCAGCTCTGGACAGAGGAGTGGCAGCCTCTCCTCCGCAGTGAGCGTTCGAACATTCCACGTGGCCACCCGTAGTGGTTTTTCGTTGTTTCTGGAGGAGCCCCGAGGGTAAGGATTCAGTCTCCTGGCTCCGCAAAATGGAGTTTTGGCCAGGAGACGCCATAGACGCCTGTCCCCCCGGGGGCCTATGCCTCAAGCTTAGTTACATTTTTAAATCGTGGTTTGGTGGTAATTAATTGAAGGTGGAGGGGTAAGCCGGCCCCTCGCACCCATCCAAACTCACACACTTACTCACACACTCACTCACAAACTCTCACTCACGCTCACATGCAGTGAGTTGCCATGCAAGGCATGACAGCGGCTCAGATCTGCACGGCGACGACGAAGATGATGTGGGCTCACGGTGACGACGACGACGACGATCGCAATGACGATGACGACGACAATCCCGATGACGAATGGCGAGACGGTGACGATCGGAACATCGACGGCCACACTCACGACGACGATGACGACGACGGCGGCGACGACGACCCTCACCTGGCTGGCGACGTCGTCGTCCCCGCGCTCCGTCTCCTCCCCGGCGGTGCCGTTGGCACCGCGGCGGAAGCGTCCACCCTTGGGCACGCCGTTCACCTTGCAGTCGTAGCAGCCCTCGTGCGACAGCTCGTTACCATCGCCGCCGCCGCCGCCGTCACCGCCGTCACCGCCGTCGTCACCCAGCGCGAAGCCCTGGCCGTTGGTGAAACCCATGCCTGACACGCAGTGCCTGGGGGTGGTGGGTGGGAGTGGGGTGGGGGGGTGGGAGTGGGGTGGGTGGGTGGTGGGTGGGTGTGTGGTTGGGTGGGTGTGTGGTGGGTGGGGGTGGGGTGGGTGGGTGTGGGGTGGGGTGGGTGGGTGGGTGTGGGGTGGTTTGGTGGTGGGTGGGTGTGGGGTTGGGTGGGTGTGGGGTTGGGTGGGTGTGTGGTGGGTGGGTGGGTGTGTGGTGGGTGGGTGTGTGGTGTGGTGGGGTGGGGTGGGTGGGTGTGGGGTGTGGTGGGGTGGGGTGGGTGGGTGTGGGGTGGGTGGGTGTGTGGTGGGTGGGTGTGTGGTGTGGTGGGGTGGGGTGGGTGGGTGTGGGGTGGGTGGGTGTGGGGTGGGTGGGTGTGGGGTGGGTGTGGGGTAGGTGTGGGGTGGGTGGGTGGTGGGTGGGTGTGGGGTGGGTGTGGGGTAGGTGTGGGGTGGGTGGGTGGGTGGGTGTGGGGTGGTTTGGTGGTGGGTGGGTGTGGGGTTGGGTGGGTGTGGGGTTGGGTGGGTGTGTGGTGGGTGGGTGGGTGTGTGGTGGGTGGGTGTGTGGTGTGGTGGGGTGGGGTGGGGTGGGTGGGTGTGGGGTGGGTGGGTGTGTGGTGGGTGGGTGTGGGGTGGGTGTGGGGTAGGTGTGGGGTGGGTGGGTGGTGGGTGGGTGTGGGGGTGGGTGGGTGTGTGGTGGGTGGGTGTGGGTGTGGGGGTGGGTGTGTGGTGTGGTGGGGTGGGGTGAGACACGCAGCCAAACGATCTCACGGACACCGTGACAAAGGCCCCCCACGTAGCTGATGGCGAGCAAAAGCTCCTATGGAAGGCCTCGTCCTCGACATCATCATCGTCATCATCGTCATCATCGTCCCATCCCCCCATCATCGCCTCACCATCAGCCCCCATCATCGCACGCGTGCCACATGCACCGTGTGTGTACGCGTGTGTACACACAGGTGTACACGCCCGTGTACACACACAGGGTGTACGCGGGCTCTCACCCCTGGCCGACGCGGTAGTAGCCGGGCGGACAGCCGCACAGGTAGCCACCCTCAGTGTTGGAGCAACCGTGGCTGCAGGGGCTCAGCGTCGAGGTGCACTCGTTGACGTCACGGCAGGCACCGCCAGGGGACTCGTAGCTGTAGCCCGTGGGGCACGCGCACTTAAAGCTGCCCAGCGTGTTGTAGCACGAGGCACGCCCACACACGCGCGGGTTCACGCACTCGTTCTCGTCTGGGGAGGGGAGGGGGAGGGGTGGGGGGAGGGGAATTACGAATCTCTTAGCCCCCCTCACCCCCACCCCCCCCAACATTGTTTCCAAATGTCACGCCACTCTGATGAGGACTCGCCAAGTATTTGATAGTGGGGGGGGAGGGGGTAAGGTTGAGTATTTCTCCCTCCAACCACCCACCCTCCCCCCACCTTCCTCCCACCCTCCCCCCACCCTCCTCCCACCCTCCTCCCACCCTCCCCCCACCCTCCTCCCACCCTCCTCCCACCCTCACCCACCCTCCCCCACCCTCCCCCACCCTCCCCCACCCTCCCCCCACCCTCCTCCCATCCTCCCCCCACCCTCCCCCCCACCCTCACCCACCCTCCCCCCACCCTCCTCCCACCCTCCCCCCACCCAACATCAACAGCCGCCGTTCGCCACTAAGCGACGGTGATGTCACCACGGCACCTGTGCCAGGCTAGGTGCACTTTGAGGCCGCCACGTGAAGTGTAGGAGGCTCGCTGCCGGCAGACCCAGCAGGTGCCATGGGGTTGCTGACTGAGATGACCGGTAGATGCACCACCAGCTGTACCCCCCTACTGTGCCAGGCTAGGTGCAGGAGGTCTCGGGACAGACCCAGCAGGTGCCATGGGTTGGCTGACTGAGATGACCGGTAGATGCACCGCCAACTGTACCCCCCTTACTGTGCCAGGCTAGGTGCAGGAGGAGGTCACGGGACAGACCCAGCAGGTGCCATGGGGTTGCTGACTGAGATGACCGGTAGATGCACCACCACCGGTACCCCCCCTACTGTGCCAGGCTAGGTGCAGGAGGAGGTCACGGGACAGACCCAGCAGGTGCCATGGGGTTGCTGACTGTGATGACCGGTAGATGCATCACCAGCTGTACCCCCCTTGCTGTGCCAGGCTAGGTGCAGGAGATCTGCGTCTGTCCCGAGACTGAGATGACCGGTAGATGCACCACCAGCTGTACCCCCCTTACTGTGCCAGGCTAGGTGCAGGAGGTCTGGGTCTGTCCTGAGACTGAGATGACCGGTAGATGCACCCAATCTCCCCTCATCCGCTCCTATCCCCTCCGCTCCCCTTCCTCATCCTTCCCCTCCCCCTTCCCCTCCCCCCCTTCCCCTCCTCCCCCCTTTCCCCTCTCTCATCCTTCCCCCCCCCCCCTTCCCCTCCTCCCCCCTTTCCCCTCTCTCATCCTTCCCCTCTCCCCTCCCCCTATCTCCTCTCTCCCCCCCCCCTCTCTCCTCCCCCCCCTCTCTCCCCCGCTCACCGATGCACTGGTTCCACTGGTAGTGCTGCATGTAGCCAGCGGGGCAGGAGCAGCGGTAACCCCCCACCATGTTCTGGCAGCCGTGCTGGCAGCGGTGACTCCCGCTGCACTCGTCCACGTCTGTGGGGGGGGGGGGGGGGGGGGGGGGTAGGTGGGTGGGGGGGGGGTTGGGTGGAAGGGGGTTCAGTGGGGCGTTGGGTGGGCGAATTGGTAGTTAGGTAGGTAGCTGTGTAGGTAGGTGGGAAGGCGAGTAGGTGGGTGGGTAGGTGAGTAGATGGGTCGGTAGGTGGGTGGTTAGTTAGTTGGGTGGGTGGGTGGTTAGTTGGGTGGGTAGGTGGGCGGGTAGGTGGGAAGGTAGGCTGGTAGGCGAGTAGGTGGGGAGTTGGGTCGGTAAATGGGTAGTTGGGTAGGTAGGTAGCTATGTAGGTAGGTGGGAAGGCGAGTAGGTGGGTGTGTAGGTGAGTAGATGGGTCGGTAGGTGGGTGGTTAGTTAGTTGGGTGGGTGGGTGGGCGGGTAGGTGGGAAGGTGGGAAGGCGACTAGGTGGGTGGGTAGTTAGGTAAATGGGTGGGTAGGTGTGTGGTTAGGCGGGTGAGTAGGTGGGTGAGTAGGTGGGTGAGTAGGTGGGTGAGTAGGTGGGTGAGTAGGTGGGTAGGTGGGTGGTTAGGCGGGTGAGTAGGTGGGTGAGTAGGTGGGTGAGTAGGTGGGTAGGAGGGTGGTTAGGCGGGTGAGTAGGTGGGTGAGTAGGTGGGTGAGTAGGTGGATGAGTAGGTGGGTGGTTAGGCGGGTGAGTAGGTGGGTTAGTAGGTGGGTGAGTAGGTGGGTGGTTAGGCGGTGAGTAGGCGGGTGAGTAGGTGGGTGAGTAGGTGGGTGAGTAGGTGGGTGAGTAGGTGGGTGAGTAGGTGTGTAGGTGGGCGGGTGAGTAGGTGGGTATTGAGCACCATCGCAGTTGAGTCCGGACGCGTCGAGGCTGAACCCGCGCTGACACTCGCACTCGAAGCTGCCCGGGGTGTTCTGGCAGACGCCCTGAGAGCCACACAAGCCGGGCTGACCCACGCACTCATTGTTGTCTGTGCAGGGAGAGAGGGGGGTGGGGGGAGGTTACCCTGTCCGAACACACACACTCCCTCATTCACTCCCTCCCTCACTCGCTCGCTCGCTCATTCAATCGCTCATTTACTCATTCCCTCCCTCCCTCGCTGATTCCCTTAGTCACTCACTCGGCCCTTCAATCGCTCGCTCCATCATTCACTCCCTCGCTCGCTCCCTCACTCCCCGAGTCCCTCGCTCGCACGCTCCATCACTCGCTCCCTCTCTCACTCGCTCCATCACTCACTCGCTCCCTCGCTCACTCCCTCGCTCACTCCCTCGCTCGCTCGCTCCCTCTCTCACTCCCTCGCTCACTCCCTCGCTCACTCCCTCGCTCACTCCCTCGCTCACTCGCTCCCTCACTCACTCGCTCCCTCGCTCACTCGCTCACTCGCTCCCTCGCTCACTCCCTCGCTCGCTCCATCGCTCGCTCACTCACTCCATCACCCGCTCGCTCACTCCATCACCCGCTCGCTCACTCCATCGCCCGCTCGCTCTCTCTCTGTCCGGCAGCAGTGAGCAGGTGAGTGTTGAGGGGCCCGCTCACCGATGCAGGCCGTGTGGTGCTGAGTGAACCCTGACGGGCACTTGCAGGTGAAGCCGCCCACTGTGTTGACGCACAAGAACTGGCAGTTGTGCTGCTTGCTGGAACACTCGTCCAGGTCTGCACGTCACACACACACACACGTCATCACACACACACACGCGTCATCACACACACACACACGTCGTCATCACACACACACACACACACGTCGTCATCACACACACACACACGCGTCATCACACACACACACGCGTCATCACACACACACACGCGTCATCACACACACACACGCGTCGTCACACACACACACGTCATCACACACACACACACGCGTCATCACACACACACGTCATCACACACACACACACACACGCGTCATCACACACACGCACGTCGTCACACACACACACGCGTCATCACACACGCGTCATCACACACACACACACACGCGTCATCACACACACACACACGCGTCATCACACACACACACGTCATCACACACACACACACGCGTCATCACACACACGCGTCATCACACACACACACGCGTCATCACACACGCGTCATCACACACACACACACACGCGTCATCACACACACACGCGTCATCACACACACACACACACGCGTCATCACACACACACACACACGCGTCATCACACACACACACGCGTCATCACACACACACACACACGCGTCATCACACACACACGCGTCATCACACACACACACACACGCGTCATCACACACACACACACACGCGTCATCACACACACACACACACGCGTCATCACACACACGTCATCACACACACACACGCGTCATCACACACACACACGTCGTCATCACACACACACACACACACGTCGTCATCACACACACACACACGCGTCATCACACACACACACGCACGCGTCATCACACACACACACGTCGTCACACGCACACACGCACGTCATCACACACACACACGCGTCATCACACACACACACGCGTCATCACACACACACACGCGTCATCACACACACACACACGCGTCATCACACACACACACGCGTCATCACACACACACGCGCGCGCGTCACACACACACACACACACGCGTCATCACACACACACACGCACGTCGTCACACACACACACACACACGCGTCATCACACACACACACGCGTCATCACACACACACACGCGTCATCACCAACACACACACACGCGTCATCACCAACACACACACACACACGTCGTCATCACACGCGCACACACACACGCACGTCATCACACGCACGTCGTTACTCGCACACAAGCATCACGTTCCCATCCCGTCGTGATCCACCAACCCCCGCCGCCACCCCCTTCCCCGCGTTTACCCTTGCAGGTCTTGCCGTCGTCCTGCATGACGTATCCACGGGGACAGGCGCACTGGAAGCTGCCCTCCGTGTTCCTGCAGATGAAGTTGCACGGCTTGGGAGCCTGGACGCACTCGTCCAGGTCTGTGGGGGGCGGGGGGGGCGGGGGGGGGCGGGGGGGGCGGGGGGGGGCGGGGGGGGTGTACATCACCGACGTTCGATGGCCATCCGCGTCGTTACAGCGGTCGGCGTCGGTGCCCGTGCTTGAGCCGAGTTGTCTCAGGCGCAGCGAGGTCACGGTCTCAGCGCGGTCGCCAGTGACTCACACAGAGACCCATAGACTCACACAGAGACCCACAGACTCACGTAGAGACCCACACACTCACGTAGAGACCCGTAGACTCACACAGAGACCCACAGACTCACGTAGAGACCCACACACTCACGTAGAGACCCATAGACTCCCTCAGAGACCCACAGACTCGCATAGAGACCCAAAGACTGACATAGAGACCCAAAGACTGACATAGAGACCCACAGACTCACACAGAGACCCACAGACTCACGCAGAGACCCATAGACTCGCATAGAGACCCACAGACTGACATAGAGACCCATAAACTCACGCAGAGACCCACAGACTCACGCAGAGACCAATAGACTCACGCAGAGACCCATAGACGACACACAGAGACGCATAGACTCACACAGAGACCCATAGACTCACGCAGAGACCCATAGACCCACACAGAGACCCACAGACTCACGTAGAGATCCCCCATAGACTCACACAGAGACCCATAGACCCACACAGAGACCCACAGACTCACATAGAGACCCATAGACTCACGCAGAGACCCATAGACTCACGCAGAGACCCATAGACTCAAGTAGAGACCCATAGACTCACACAGAGACCCATAGCCTCATGCAGAGACCCATATACTCACGCAGAGACCCATAGACTCACACAGAGACCCACAGACTCACGCAGAGACCCATAGACTCCCTCAGAGACCCACAGACTCGCATAGAGACCCAAAGACTGACATAGAGACCCACAGACTCACACAGAGACCCACAGACTCACGCAGAGACCCATAGACTCGCATAGAGACCCACAGACTGACATAGAGACCCACAGACTCACACAGAGACCCATAGACTCGCATAGAGACCCACAGACTGACACAGAGACCCACAGACTCACGCAGAGACCCATAGACTCACGTAGAGACCCACAGACCCACACAGAGACCCATAGACTCATGCAGAGACCCATATACTCACGTAGAGACCCACAGACTCACATAGAGACCCGTAGACTCACACAGAGACCCACAGACTCACATAGAGACCCATATACTCACACAGACTCACATAGAGACCCGTAGACTCACATAGAGACCCACAGACACACACAGAGACCCATAGACTTACGTAGAGACCCGTAGACTCACGCAGAGACCCATAGACTCACGTAGAGATCCATAGACTCATGTAGAGACCCATAGACTCACGCAGAGACCCATAGACTCACGTAGAGACCCACAGACTCACATAGAGACCCGTTGACTCACGTAGAGACCCATAGACTCACGTAGAGACCCACAGACCCACACAGAGACCCATAGACTCATGCAGAGACCCATATACTCACGTAGAGACCCACAGACTCACATAGAGACCCGTAGACTCACACAGAGACCCACAGACTCACATAGAGACCCATATACTCACACAGACTCACATAGAGACCCGTAGACTCACATAGAGACCCACAGACACACACAGAGACCCATAGACTCACGTAGAGACCCGTAGACTCACGCAGAGACCCATAGACTCACGTAGAGATCCATAGACTCATGTAGAGACCCATAGACTCACGCAGAGACCCATAGACTCACGTAGAGACCCACAGACTCACATAGAGACCCATAGACTCACGCAGAGACCCATAGACTTACGCAGAGACCCACAGACTCACGTAGAGACCCACAGACTCACGTAGACACCCACAGAATCGCGTAGAGACCCACAGACTCACATAGAGACCCATAGACTCACGTAGAGACCCATAGACTCACACAGAGACCCATAGACTCACGTAGAGACCCATAGACTCACGCAGAGACTCACAGACTCGCATAGAGACCCATAGACTCACACAGAGACTCACAGACTCACGTAGAGACCCATAGACTCACACAGAGACTCATAGCCTCATGCAGAGACCCACAGACTCACACAGAGACCCACAGACTCGCATAGAGACCCAAAGACTGACATAGAGACCCACAGACTCACACAGAGACCCACAGACTCACGCAGAGACCCATAGACTCGCATAGAGACTCACAGACTGACATAGAGACCCACAGACTCACACAGAGACCCACAGACTCAAATAGAGACCCATAGACTCGCATAGAGACCCACAGACAGACACAGAGACCCACAGACTCACGCAGAGACCCATAGACTCACGTAGAGACCCACAGACCCACACAGAGACCCATAGACTCATGCAGAGACCCATATACTCACGTAGAGACCCACAGACTCACATAGAGACCCGTAGACTCACACAGAGACCCACAGACTCACATAGAGACGCATATACTCACACAGACTCACATAGAGACCCGTAGACTCACATAGTGACCCACAGACACACACAGAGACCCATAGACTCACGTAGAGACCCATAGACTCATGTAGAGACCCATAGACTCACGCAGAGACCCACAGACTCACGTAGAGACCCACAGACTCACGTAGAGACCCACAGACTCACGTAGACACCCACAGACTCACCACACAGAGACCCACCGACTCACGTAGACACCCACAGACTCACGTAGAGACCCACAGACTCACACAGAGACCCACCGACTCACACAGAGACCCACCGACTCACGTAGAGACCCACCGACTCACACAGCGAGTTAGGGGGTGTTGGGGTGCGTGCTAGGCGGAGTGAACGTTGGGTGCGCTCCCGGGGCGTACCAACGCAGGCCGTGCGGGAGAGGTCTGTGGTGTATCCCGGCCGGCAGAGGCAGTGGTGCGAGCCTTCCGAGTTGACGCACGTGCCGTGCTCGCACGTGCTCGGCAGCACCGCACACTCGTTGATGTCTGCCGCACAGACGACCGGGTTGGAGGGAGGGGGGACGGGGTGGGGGGGGCACGGGGTGGTGATGATGACGGGTGGACGCACCAAGAGGTGGAGGGAGAGAGGTGGAGAGAGGTGGAGAGAGAGAAGGGGAGAGAGAGAGAGGTGGAGAGAGAGAGGTGGAGAGAGAGAGAGGTGGAGAGAGAGAGAAGGGGAGAGAGAGAGAGAGGTGGAGAGAGAGAGAGGTGGAGAGAGAGAGAGGTGGAGAGAGAGAGAGGTGGAGAGAGAGAGAAGGGGAGAGAGAGAGAGAGGTGGAGAGAGAGAGAGGTGGAGAGAGAGAGGTGGAGAGAGAGAGAGGTGGAGAGAGAGAGGTGGAGAGAGAGAGGTGGAGAGAGAGAGAGGTGGAGAGAGAGAGGTGGAGAGAGAGAGAGGTGGAGAGAGAGAGGTGGAGAGAGAGAGAGGTGGAGAGAGAGAGGTGGAGAGAGAGAGAGGTGGAGAGAGAGAAGGGGAGAGAGAGAAGGGGAGAGAGAGGTGGAGAGAATGAATGAAATGAAACTTGAAACTTGAATGAGAGGGGGGAGCGGGAGTCAAGCTGTCTGTCTGAACCGGCTCAAGCCTCCCGTTAACCACGTGACTTCTGCGTGGTCACCCCCCCCCCCCCCCACTCTGAACCCCTCTCACTGCCACCGCCCACTGTGAAAACAGACTCCACTCTGTTGGTGTAGCCCGGTCCGTGTGGGAACAGCTTGCTAACCGCTGCACCGCCACTCTTGCACCCCTACACACTCCTATACTGTCCAACACACACTCTCACTCTCCTACTCTCTCCTACTCTCTCCTACTCTCTCCTACTCTCTCACTCTCCTACTCTCTCCTACACTCTCCTACACTCTCACTCTCCTACTCTCTCACTCTCCTACTCTCTCCCACACTCTCCTACTCTCTCACTCTCCTACTCTCTCACTCTCCTACTCTCTCCCACTCTCTCCTACTCTCTCTTACACTCTCTCCTACTCTCCCACTCTCCTACTCTCTCCTACTCTCCCACTCTCCTACTCTCTCCTACTCTTTCCCACTCTCTCCTACTCTCTCCTACACTCTCACTCTCCTACTCTCTCCTACTCTCTCCCACTCTCTCCTACTCTCTCCTACTCTGCCACTCTCCTACTCTCTCCTACTCTCTCCCACTCTCTCATACTCTCTCCCACACTCTCCTACTTTCTCCCACTCTCTCCTACTCTCTCCTACTCTCTCCCACTCTCTCCTACTCTCTCCTACTCTCCCACTCTCCTACTCTCTCCCACTCTCTCCTACTCTCTCCCACTCTCTCCTACTCTCTCCCACTCTCTCCTACTCTCTCCTACTCTCCCACTCTCCTACTCTCTCCTACTCTCTCCCACTCTCTCCTACTCTCTCCCACTCTCTCCTACTCTCTCCCACTCTCTCCTACTCTCTCCCACTCTCTCCTACTCTCTCCCACACTCTCCTACTCTCACTCTCCTACACTCTCCTACACTCTCTCCTACTCTCTCACTCTCCTACTCTCTCACTCTCCTACTCTCTCCTACACTCTCCCACACTCTCTCACTCTCCTACTCTCTCACTCTCCTACACTCTCACTCTCCTACTCTCTCCTACACTCTCACTCTCCTACTCTCTCACTCTCTCCTACTCTCCTACTCTCTCACTCTCCTACTCTCTCACTCTCCTACTCTCTCACTCTCCTACCCTCTCCTACACTCTCCTACTCTCTCACTCTCCTACACTCTCACTCTCCTACTCTCTCACTCTCCTACTCTCTCCTACACTCTCCCACTCTCTCCTACACTCTCCCACTCTCTCCTACTCTCTCCTACTCTCTCCCACTCTCTCCTACTCTCCTACACTCTCTCACTCTCTCTCCCACACGCCCTCCGACACTCTCACCGTGCCCGTCCGTGGTGTACCCCGGCCCGTGCGGGCACAGCTTGCGGAAGGGCGCCGTGCCGGGCAGCGGGCAGAGATCACAGCCGGTGCCCCATCCCCGCCCGCCGGAGCAGCAGCAGCACTGGGACCTGGTGACGAGCGCCGGGCTGCTCGACGTCATCTGGCACAGCGACTGCAGAACCTCCGTGAAGCAGAAGCCCTGGCGGTTGTCTGCCGCGGACAGAGACGGCGCAACTCACGCAACTCACGCAACTCGCGCAACTCGCGCAACTCACGCAACCCGCGCAACTCACGCAACTCACGCAACTCACGCAACTCGCGCAACTCGCGCAACTCACGCAACTCACGCAACTCGCGCAACTCACGCAACTCACGCAACTCGCGCAACTCGCGCAACTCACGCAACCCGCGCAACTCACGCAACTCACGCAACTCACGCAACCCGCGCAACTCACGCAACTCACGCAACTCACGCAACTCGCGCAACTCGCGCAACTCACGCAACTCGCGCAACTCACGCAACCCCGCGCAACTCACGCAACTCGCGCAACTCGCGCAACTCGCGCAACTCACGCAACTCGCGCAACTCGCGCAACTCACGCAACTCGCGCAACTCGCGCAACTCGCGCAACCTGTGCAACCCCGCACAACCCCGCGCCCGTACAAACGCTCAACCGCACGACTAAAAAAACGATTTCGTTTCTTTTTTTTACTTCACCAGGTAAGGCTCATGCTGAGCTTTTTCCCAGAAGCGACCCTGGGCCATCGCAAATGACAGCTCAACGGAGTGGGCTCATCGTCGTCGTCGTCATCATCATCATCGTCGTCATCGTCGTCGTCATCGTCGTCATCGTCATCGTCGTCATCGTCGTCGTCATCGTCGTCGTCATCGTCGTCATCGTCGTCATCGTCGTCGTCATCGTCGTCATCGTCACCGTGTGGAAAGTTATAGCAGCAGTCAAGCGCCCTGAACGCGCGGTGACGTCGATTGTAAATGTGGAGGGAAAATCCGGAGGACCCCGGAGAAAAATCCACGCTACCACAGGGAGAGAGAGCGAGAGGGAGAGACGCAGACTCCAATTACTCGACCTAGGGAAGACGCGAGAGTGGATCAAATATTTAAGACAGGCGTGCACACACACACAGGCACACACAGAGGCAAAGACAAAGATCCCCCGTGTAGCCTTAGCAGACTGTAGGGGCAAGTGCTGTTAGCGTGCACCTATGAAGGCTGGAACGGCACACGAGGGGGTTGGGTGGCCAACGCCACGCCCGGCCGCCTTTGTCTCCCCAGTGGCGATGTTTACACATCGCATCAGGTATTTATTTGAGGCTGAGTCGACCTAGGAGAGTCCCAGGACCGGTTCAGATAAGCGTCACCGGTGTTGGCCGTGAGCGGGAATCGAACCCGGGTCGCCGGGTTCATAGCGCAGCGTAGCGCTAACCGCTACACCACCGCTCCCCACTACACACAGACACACAGGCACATGCACACGTACACACGAGTACACACGTGTACATACGAGTACACACACACGTACACACACAGGTTCATAGCGCAGCGCGCTAACCGCTACACTACACAAAGGCACACAAACACACACAGGCATAGACACACCCAGGCATAGACACACACACACACAGCCGTACACACACACACACAGCCGTAGACACACACACAGGCGTAGACACACACACCCAGGCGTAGACACACACACACAGGCGTAGACACACACACACAGGCGTAGACACACACACAGGCACACACACACACCCAGGCATAGACACATACACACAGCCGTAGACACACACACACAGGCGTAGACACACACCCAGGTGTAGACACACACCCAGGCGTAGACACACACACAAGCACACACACACACAGGCGTAGACACACCCAGGCGTAGACACACCCACAGGCGTAGACACACACACACCCAGGCGTAGACACACACACACAGGCGTAGACACACACACAGGCGTAGACACACACACAGGCACACACACACACAGGCACACACACACAGGCACACACACAGACACACACACACACACAGACACACACACAGACACACACACACACAGACACACACACACACAGACACACACACACAGACACACACACACAGACACACACACACACAGACACACACAGACACACACACACGCGCACCGCCGCTGCGTTACCGATGCACTCTGTCTGCGAGGAGCCCGAGGTGAAGCCATCCTGGCACTCGCAGCGGAAGCTCCCAAACGTGTTCACACAACTGCCATGCTCACAGACGCCTGGCCGTGAGCGGCACTCATTCTCATCTGGGGGGCAGGGGGGAAGGGGAGGGGAGGGAGGGGGGAGGGAGAGGACAGGAGGATTGTGACGTGTGGTCGTGGTAATGATGCTGATGGTGGTGGTGATGAGGGTGGTGATGGTGGTGGTGATGGTGGTGGTGATGGTGGTGGTGATGGTGGTAGTGGTGATGGTGGTGATAGTGGTGGTGATGGTGGTGGTGATGGTGGTGATGGTGGTGGTGGCGATGGTGGTGGTGATGGTGGTGATGATGGTGGTGATGATGGTGGTGATGGTGGTGGTGATGGTGGTGATGGTGGTGATGGTGGTGGTGATGGTGGTGATGGTGGTGGTGGTGATGGTGGTGGTGGTGATGGTGGTGATGATGGTTGTGATGATGGTGGTGGTGATGATGGTGGTGATGGTGGTGGTAGTGGTGGTTGTGTCCGTAGTGGTGGTGGTTGTTG